GATCCCTCTTGGTGCACCACGGTTCAAATCCCAGCCTTGGCGGCTTGAAAAACCACTCCAGGTGTGTGTGCATGCATGTCCACAATCCCAAAAGGATGGACATTAGAGGGGGAGAGACCGTGGCATGATCGCACATTACCGGCACGTGAGTTTCCTCTTTCTCTCTCTCTCTGATAAGCACATGTGCCCTCTGTCAACCAAAAAAATAGATGTTAAGAAATGGAGGTGAGGGCCAGCAGGTGGCGTGGTGGTGAAGGTGCTGGATCACACATGGCTGAATCCATGGTTTGAGTCCCGGACCCAGTGGCTTGAAAAACACACCAAAAGCGTGTGTGTGCATGCCCCATATCCAAAGAGGAGAATGGGGAAGAGATTGCAGCATGACCATCTCATCCTGGGGGGCGGGGGCGATTTCTCACTTTCCCTCTCTCTCTGTTTCTCTCTCTCTCTCTCCAGTGAGTGCAAGAACCCTGTGATAAAAAAAAAAAAAAAAAAAAAAAAAATCTGGAGGAGGAAAAGAAAACAGTGAAGTCAACCTTTTTAGACATAGGAAAGCTGAAAGAATTTATCAGCAAGAAATTTACACTTCAACAAATTGTAAAGGAAGCGCTTCAGGAAGAAGATTGATAGCAGATAGCTATCCGGATTGGGAAGAAGGGATGAACAGCACCAGAAAGGGTAACATCGTGGGTGAAGTCCCCAGATACTCATCTTCCCTTCGAAAGCTCCTTACAGGGCTCGGTGACAGTGCAGCAGTAAGGTTCTGTGAGGCTGGGCCGTGGGAGGGCTGTGGTGACCTCCTGAACGCGGTGGGGAACCTGTGCCCATGACTGGGCGTTGGCTGAGGCTGGGGGTTGGGAGTGAATCAGGCTGTGGGGACCTCGATGGGGGTGCCTGTCTCTCTATATCTCTACATCTCTCTCACTCTCTCTCCCTTTCTTGTTCATGAAAGGAAGAAATCCACTTTTTCTTTGCCAGATGACACGTACCGTGAGAGAGAGAAAAAGAGAGAGGGAAAGCAAGAAAGCACCCGCTGTGGGGCATGGCTACGCTGCAATCCCATCCGCCTCATCTCTCCTTCCTTTTGGGATTTTGGGTATGCACTCACATGAGCCCAATGTGGTTTTCAAGCCACCGGGTTCAGGACTCAAACCACGTGGCTGGCCACGTGGGATCCAGTCACTTTAAACATCAGGCCATAAATTGGCTCAGAAATGCACTTAAAAAAAAAAAAAAGAATTATTTGGGACTAGCAGATGGTGTAATGCCTACATTGCTGGACTCCTGTGTAGTTGACCGCAGTTTGAGTCCTGGACCCAGTGGCTTAAACTCACGCTGGGCACGCGTGCATGTGTGCCCAAGATCCCGAGAGGAGAATAGAGGAGAAGGGATTGTCCATCGCAATCCACCGTGGGGTGTGATTTCTTGCTTTCTGTCTCTCTGTCTCTGTCTGTCTTTCTGGCGAGTATATGTGCCCTATATCAAAAACCCCTCCCCTGCTCCCCTCAAAAAAAGAATGATTTATTATCATTATTGTTTAACTTGTATAGGGCACATGAACTCACTAGAGAGAGAGATAGCTAAAGAGAAAGTGAGAAAGCAAGCCACCAGATCCAGGACTTGAACTGCGTCAGCAAGTGGGAATCCAGTGCCCCAACAACCACACCACTTTCTAGACCCCAGAAATACACTTAAAAAAAAAAAAAGATAATTTGGGACTGGCAGGTGGCATGGTGGTTAAGGCACTGGACACTCCCAGGTGGCCGACCACGGTTCAAGTCTTGGACTTGGTGGCTTGCTTTCTCACTTTCCCTCTCTCTCTCTCTGTGTCTAACTTTGGTCAAATTAAAAAAAAAAAGATGAATGCATAAATAAATAATGAAAAAAAGATAATTTACTATTAAAAATATATATATATTGCCAGAGAGCATGTGCACTCCCAGAGAGAGAGGGAAAGCTAAGAGGCCAGCCTAATAGTTCACTATTTAAGCAAAAACAGTAACAATGTGAGATGAAGTTTACAATATTTATAAAAGTAAAATGTTTGACAACAACAGCACAAATAGGAGAGGAAAATGAGAAGTACTGCAAGTTGTTGGCTTTCAAATAATTATTTATTTATTCTTTCTTTTTTTTTAAGATTTAACCAGAGAGAGACACAGAGAGGGC